CCTGCAGTGAACAGAAAGAGAGAGTGCCAGGCAGGCTCACCAGGTACACTTTCCATTGCCTGGCACAGCTGGTAACATGAGGACCTCCGGCTCTCTGTTTTATGCCCAATTCAAAGGGCAGGAGACTCCTTTCATTCTCCAGGAGCCCACCGTCATCTTCAGAGTTTATAGCAACAAGAGAGGAAGAGTCTCTGCTGAGGCGGGCACACAGGGCCCCCAGGCGCAGGCAGTGTCCGCCCCACTCTGAGCTGTCTCAACACGTCCACTCGATAAGCCAGCAGACCGCCAACGCCCTCCTGACCAGACACCCTGGGGTGATTCTTCAGAGGGAGGGGTGGCTTCAAACGCTTTGTACAAGAGCACAAAAATCAGATGTTTTCATGGTGTCAAACTATTGGAATATGTCAATTCAAATAAATGAAGTTGTCATTCAGCTTCATAATGACATAAGTGCAATAAATTGGAAATGCGCAAATTAAAACTACAAATGTGTAAAAAACAAATGATATCGTTATATTGCACTTGTAACACATACAGTATCCCTAAAACATCATGTAAACAACATCTATATGTAGTAGACAAAGGTATCGCCCTTTGCAGCTTTATAAGTCAAAGTCTTCTGTGGTCTTGACTTCTATTAGGAACTAAAACCAAAAGCTCCCTGCTGGTATGATGGAAAGTGAGATATCGGCAGTCTCCAGCACCAAAGTCTCATCCATCTTCCACACTACGGCTCTCAAAAGGTTAGAATGAGAAACGTCCCGCATTGAAAGACCAGTGTTGCATCTGTTTTTGTGCAACATGGAAAAGGAACAAGGGAAAGGTCCAGTCCTGCTGAAGAGAAGTAGGGAAACACAACGTTTCAGCTGTGGAGTCCTTTCCGGGTGGGGGAGAAGTGGCTCCACACCCACCCCCTGCCCTCCACCCCTGGAGAAGCCTCCACAGACGAAACGCTGCGTTTCCTTTCTTCTCTTCTCAGCAGGACTAAAACCTGTACTTGTTCCCTGGCAGCCTGCGCCTGTGGCAGTAATCAGATTTATTGCAATGCGATAACGTTAGAAAATATTTCTATCCGTGAACGAAACAGATTCCAAAGAGAATCTTCCACCATAACGACACAGAGAGGTGACAAAATTAGCCACATCCATCTGAGAGGCGGGAAAAAGGCAGCTGAAAAATAAAGAAAAGAGGACACACAAATTAAACCTGGCAAAACCAGTGGTGGTACAGTATATACAGCAGGACTAGTGTGTACAGTATATTAGTTCAGGTGGGGAGCTGCGTCAGCAGGCGTAGTCTGCAAAGGAACAAGTAAAGGTTTTGTCCTGCTGAAAAGAGAAGAGAGAAAACACAACGTTTTGGCCATGGAGCCTTCTTCAGGTGTGAGAGAGACAGGGCAGACAGCAGGAGGACAAGAGCTG